TTATCCTTAACGACTGTAGCCAGACTGAGCTGTAGCTGCTTTTGCCTTTAATGTTTGCAATTTAATTTGCCTTTAATGTTTTGCCTTTAATGTTTGCTTTTAATGTTGGCAACAAACTTTATCGCTCTCTACAACTACCTGAAAGGGGTTTGTAGTGAGGTGGGTGTTGGTCTCTTCTCCCAAGTAACTAGCGATAGAATGAGAAGAAACAGCCTCAAGTTGCACCAGGTTTAGACTAGGTATTAGGAAAAATTTCTTTGCCGAAAGAGTGGTCAAGCTTTGGAACAGGCTGCCCAGGGAAGTGCTGGAGTCACCATCACTGGAGGTGTTCAAAAAATGTGTAGACGTGGCACTTCAGGACATGGTTTAGTGGGCATGGTGGGGTTGGGTTGATGGTTGGACTTGATGATCTTAGAATTCCTTTCCAACCTTAATGATTCTATGAAATATTGAGTCTTCGTTATTCGTTCTTTTCAGAGAGGTACTGAGTGTGTACCGTTCTCATTCTCTTTCACAAGAGATGTGGGCACCCTGCAGCTTTAGGGTCGGGCTGCCTTAGTGCTTGCCTTCAGCCGTGCAGCCTGAGAATCTTGGTCACAATATCTCAGGCTTCCTTCCTCCTTCTCTTAATTGCTACTGACCTCCAGGCTTTTTTGGTTATATATACTTCTTTGGTTATACATACTTCATTTAGACTTACTGACGTGACCCAGCTGTCTTCTCCAGCTTGTTCCTAACTCTGTCTTTTGGCATCAGTTTCAGATTATGATTATTTCTCTGTGAGCGGTGACCAGGAGGCAGAACAACAAGAGTTTGACAAATCTTCCACAATCCCAAGAAACAGTGACATTAGCCAGTCCTATCGCAGAATGTTTCAAACCAAGCGTCCTGCTTCCACTGCAGGTCTGCCAACCACACTTGGACCGGTCATAGTCACCCCTGGCGTCGCCACCATCAGACGGACCCCTTCCACCAAGCCATCAGTCAGACGCGGTACCATAGGGGGAGGTCCGATTCCAATCAAGACGCCAGTGATTCCTGTCAAAACACCAACTGTTCCAGATATCCCAGGGGGGCTGCCCGGCACCCTCGCCGGGACAGAAGAATGTCCCGAGCAAAGTCCCGAGTCTCCGGCACCAGGAGATGGCGGGCAAGGTGTCACCAGCATGCCTTCATCCTCGTGGAGCGGACAAGCGTCTGTCAACCCTCCGCCATCAAGCCAGAAACTGAGCGCTGCCGACGAGCAGAGGCAACCGGTTCCAGAGAGCGAGGGGGAAGAAAGCGACCGGGATGGTGTCGGCACCCTCGCGCCTGCGGGCCAGCCAGAGCTCGATCCCGGAGAGCTGAGTCCTGGGGATGTTCCACAGGGTGAAGATATGCTGAACGCCATTCGGCGCGGTGTCAAACTGAAGAAGACGACCACGAATGATCGCTCAGCACCTCGTATTTCCTAGGAGTGGAAAAGCTGCCAGAGTACTAGCCGCCGAGAAGGAACTGTGAGGAAGCTAATTTGTCTCTATCCATTCCAATCTGTAATCAATGATTTTTTTAAGATACTCGGTAACAGACAGTCTGAAAGTACTCTAAAAGAGAAAACAAGGTGAAAGAGCGTAGTAAGACATAATCTTCACTGGTGTTTTAATTTGTAAATATCAATAATTTTGTTTCTGCATTTTTTGATCTAAGTTACACTTTTAATTTTTTCTGAAGGTGCCAAATCCCATTTACCTTTTTTATAACTCTCTTTGTAAAGTTTTAAATCATAGGAGAAAAAAAAAAGTCAAATAGTTAACTTCAGCAAAAGGATTTAATGAAAATTTGGCTTTTTTGCAAGCTTTTGTAGAGCTCCTTGTAATAGTGAGGTTAAAAAACAGAATGGAACAATGGGACTGACTGACTTTAAAGTTTAAGTCAAGCTGTAAGGAACAGATCCTCATTTAAGTATTTTAAAAAAAGTTTGAAAAGCAGGAATAAAAATTGACAATAAAAGCAATATATAATGTGAGGAAGAAACCTGCAGTTGGTAGAGTATTTGGGGGGTAGTGGGGGGAGGGAGATGCCATCAAAATAGCAGACGCTGTTGCACAAAAGTAGCCTAGTAGGATTAATTACTAGTAGCTTCATGGTAAATGCATCAGAATAAGCCATACTGGATTGCAGTGTTTTGTTTCTGTAGGGTGTTTTAAAGACTGGGTTTTTTCCACATTTCTTTTTTGACTGCACAGCAACAACTCTCGGTCACATGCATGCAGCCTTAACTGTGTAGGCTTGGTTCTTCCACCTTCACTTTCTGTTCCACTCATCCTTTTCACTGAATACAAACAAGGACGACAGGCTTAAGGCAATTGCAAATGTGAAAACATTTTTAAAATGCAAGCAGGGAGTTCTTAGATACTATCAAAATGCCTTTTTCTGACTGTGCCCAGCAGGCTGGGCACCTTGGAAAGCCCAACTATTTTGAGAAAACACGTAACAATTTGACAGGTGTAACCAGCTTGTGATCTAATAAACTGCGAATGTTTCTTTCCAATACAGGGGCTTGTTTTTCTTAACTTCTTTTAAATGGGAGTTGATTGGCTTTTCTTAAATACCAACAAGAAAGGGGTGAAGGGTGGGGGGTGGGAAGAGACACTGGTTTTTTGATAATACTGGGAGTCTGACCACTATATTCTCTTTTTTTGTACTTTAAGTCACGTTTTTTGGAACGCTATTGATAGAATTATTAAGAGTTGGATTTTTTCCTTAAAGTACAAGTAAGTTATTGCTGCAATACCCGTCTCCTAAAGCTGATAGAAATATGCAGACCCCAGAGCACGACACGTGTTCCAGTCAGACAGTCCAGAGGGATGCCATCTGCCCACCCACGGCAGACCCACGCGTGGACGGACACCAGACTTGCGCATCCGGGATTGTTGAAAAATGCACCAAATAATCCATCTAAGGGGCTAGTTTCTACCACACGCTCTGCAGATTTCTGTTGGCTCTACACTTGCCTACATAACCTTTTATGCTTTAATACATAACTGCATTGGATGTGAAACTTCTAGTAACTGTGTAGTCACTGTGTTCTATATAACATTTTACACTGCTGTGGTTGCTGACCTTTTTTTTTTTGTTATGGCTTAAAAAGCAAAAACAAAAAAAAAGGCATGATTCTTAGAAAATATTAAACCTTCCTTTCTTTGAAAAACAAGCTCCTTATTACAGAATATAATAAACAGTAGTGCCTGTGGTGTAGCCCACCAATTCTTGATACAGTAGCTGATGCATTGTGCAAATGAGGCTTTGAGATGGTTTTTGCATAAACAAAAACTGCTAGGAGATAATCTCAATAGTTAAAAGTGTTATTTAAACCTTTGAAATAAATGGATGTAACTGTACCAGAGTACAGCTTTTCACTTGTTTAGTTCTTAAACGTTAGTATAATCAGTAAAATTTAATATAAAATGTTGCCAAATTCAATGTAGAAAGAATGTGACAAAACACTTTGGATAGTTCTATTGTTTGTGTTTTTGCATATTGTAAAAGCAGTGTCACAGCTAAAAAATAAAATGTTTCTAATGGTAAATTATTGTGGTTTAGTTGCTAGTTTGTACTGAGAGTTGACCTCTCCCTGTGCAGTTTTTTGTTCTAAACTGGTATAAATAATTGCTGTAAGTGTGTCTCCCTTCTACATTGTAATGATTGCTTAAGCCTACATTATAAATAAAGAACTGCTGGAAAACTTCTGTATTTCGGTTCTTAAAGACTTTCTGCTTTCAGAGCTTCGCATGTCAGTGGTGCCCCTCATCAGACTCCTGAGGATCGTGCAGGTTCCATCTGCGTGTAGCAGGAACAGGAGAATTACAAAATAAGTAAATAAAATGGCACGTAGCTGTTTTACTGATGCGCACTGGACGGGTAGAGGCAGAGCAAAGGTGCAGCGCTGACGATGGATGTTCCCACCGAGTAACAGCTGATGGCGTTTCTCTGTCCCTCGCTGCTGTCACCTGGCCAGGAAGCGCAGAGAACCCAGCGCGTCTGCGCGTCCGCTCCAGGGCAGGACCGCGCTGCCTTTGCCAGGGAGGGAGGTTGCTGCTGTCAATGCTGCCTGTGCTTTCAGACAGAGTTTATCAAGGCCACGGCCAGGGCCTTCTCCCTTCGCCCCTGAGTGAGCGAAGACTTCCTTTTCTTCGCCTTTCTCAGGGACAAGGGTAGAGAGGGAGGACGTGGCTCCCACTTGCAGCTGCCACACAGTGGCTGCATTTATTTCCTTGCCACTGTGATACTCATTTTTGTCTAGAGGTTTCCGTTTGTCACGGAGTCGTTAAAGGAAAACCCAAGGTACTTTGGCTGGAAAGACGTCCTGTCTCTGAAAGGATTGCCGTTTCATTCCCCCCATCTCTCTACGGCCGTGTCTCCCGTACTGCTCGGTCAGGTGCTCTCATTTTGGAGCAGGTCCCTGCTGCTTCTACAGTGAACCCGATTCACTTAAAGCTGCGCGTGCAAAACGTTTCTGTTGTGGGCTGGGGGTTTTTTTGGTGGTTGATTTTTCATGCTGGGATGTGGAGTATCCCTCGTGTTAAGGAGTGTCCGTCAGACCTGCTCAGGTGTTTGTAAAAGTCAGGAGGGACTTTTTGCTCCGTTTTCTAGCAAAAAAAAATTTGTCATTGGTTGGCCGATGGGGACGGGGTGTGCAAAATCACACATCATTAAAAAAGGATTATTTTAGTGTTTTTGCATAGTTTCTGAATATGGTTACCAGCCAAGCAAAGCACCCAAACAGGGTTTGGGGGGAGGTGAGGCGCGGGAAGAGGGGACGGTTTTTGCCAGGTAACATTTGTCAGAACAGCTTTGAAGCCCACCTGGCGATTGCCCGCCCGGTTGGCCCTACCGCGCTGGCACCGGCCCGAGCCCAGGCTCAGCGCCCAGCCAGGGCAGAGCCGGCCCCAGCGCAGGGTGGGCAAGGTGGGTTTGCCCCACGATGTTGTATTTTCCTCTGCGTTTTGCCCACGCGGTTTTGGCCTTTCATGCTCTGGCTAAGGCAAGTAGCTGCTAAAGCAAAGGGGCGTTCGTGATGTAGGGGAGTGTAGCGCTGGTAGAGCAGACCCCGCGTTAGAATCCTGGAACACGTTAGAAAAAGGGGCACAGGTCGGGACTCTTGCTATGAACTAGTGCCTTCAGGACTGAAAAACAGAAGAGGAAAGCGCCAATACCTGAGCGGAGAGAAGGCACAGCTCCAGGCTGAGGGGAGGGGTGTGCTGAACACCCCACTGGGAAAGGGCACGCCCCGATTCTGCTGCTGCCTTCGGACTGATGGAGGGAGAGAACAGATGCAGCTTCCTGGAAAAACAGCAACTTTCTAAAGTGGAGTATGTATGTGAAGTCTTCCACCCCCCCGCCCCCCAAAATCCAGGCATATTTCAGCATATAGGCTTACTGAAGAGGGACACATGAAGTTTCGAAAAAGCATTCAGGATTAAAGCCTTTTCTTACACCCAAGCTAAATACACTTAGTCCTTAATGCAGCTGAAGTTGGTGCCTTTGCCATCTCTTGCAATCAAGCTTTAAATTGGAGTTCATGGAAAAAGGAGGCCTTAGGGTTAAATATGGTACAATCAAAAAGCTCCTGTAGAATCAAAGTCAGATTAGGTAACCCAGATCTCCTCTCTTCGAGCCCTAAAAATGGGGGAACAGAAGAGCCAGGGAGGTCTATTCCCTCTATTCTCTTACACACTGAGAGGTTAGTGGAAGCATTGGCAAAATTCCCCATGTCTTACGTGGATGCTGTGGGGATGTGGCCAGAAGCAAACAGCTTTTGTACCTCATTCACTGCACAGCACTGCCCACTAGAACCGCTGGCGACGCATACATGAGCACACAAGAGCCATGTTGCACAGCAGCCCACTTGTTTTACCTGAAAGAGCTCTGTAGTTACATGGGAGTCAGTTGGGGGGGGGGCAGGGCGCAGGGGTGAAGTTTCTTCTGGTGCCCCACAGCAATGTTATCTGTGGCAGCAAGAGATCACAATATAAATAAGATTTTCCGAGATTTGATACCCAAGTGAAAAATGCAGATAAAAGCTTCACAAGGTGGAGAGGGAAGAGTAAGAAGTGTTTATCCCCAAGCAAAGTTAGAAATACCCTCATTCCAGGAGTAACCAAAGCCCATGTCTCTTGCTGTCAGTATTTTGAAACTCCAGCTGTTGCACAAGCGTGTAGCACCCTGCCTGTAGTTAGTACCAGATCCCAAGTTATCAGGCTGATGTAAATTGTTTATTCATTTTCATCCACTCCCTGCAGGCCACCCTCCCTCCCCGCTTCCCCACAGCAGGAGACAGGCTCTGGACACAGTTATTCACTGTTTAGTTGCTGTCCCCCAGTAAATCTGCTCCTCCCTCCCCTTTAAGCTCACATTCGTTCTCTAGGAACATGAGTTTTATGCAGCCAATTTTTTCAGTCTCATAACTGAAAGTTTTCTAACTCTTACTGTGAAAGCTGCAATGTATGTTCACCTTTATAAAACTTGCTCTGGAGTAAGGATCCCATTCAGGCTTCTTCTCAGGCTGGTCAGTGTTCTCTGATATTTCAGGTATATAGCGTAGGTATTAACAGTCACCTATTCTACACAACACAAACTGGAAGCGTGTGCATGCTATAGAACAGTATGATGTCAGAAAAATGCCTTCTATTTTACTTTATTTGACTTTATTTTGTATTACTCAGAGTAGCATGCGGTCACTGGCATGTCTACTGCCTACATAAGATAGGCCGCTTCAATTCTCATGTGAAGTA